GAGAGGGCAGCAGTTGGAGAACTGAGACAGTAGGCATCTTTGCTGAATCTAGAGGCAGAAATGAGGAGGAGATTCATCTAAGTAACCAGACTAGACTAAGCTCCTAAGAAGCACACCCCACAAAGGTCCCTAGGGGTGGGCCTGGCCTGTAACACAGCTAAGAAGGTTTCACAGAAACTATCATTGCTCATATAATACTACCTCTGCACCCAACAAGAACTCAAAATCACAGCCAAATTTGCTGCTAGCCACAGGACAACCTCAATTTTACATACCCAGGTCCTCCTGAAGTTTCGACTGCCTTTGTGTGCTTCTAGAAATAAGGTCAGAATAGGGATCGGAGAGGGGCTGAAAACAACATACAGAGCATGCTTTGCCATTTTCCTAGGCTAAGGACAGCAGAATTTGCCCAATTCATTCTCAGATCATCTGTGATAACAGAGATGGGGAATGTATGCCTACCGCCATCCTGCAAATAGCGACTTGGGTCTAGAGAGAGTAAAATGATATAGCAACATCAGTGCACATTACATGGAGGGAGGTGAAGCTTCTTTCTCCTCCAGGCTACTCCCCTACCCCACCCTAATTTGTTCCAGGGCAGTAACTAGCCCCACTTGCTTCACTGTGCCCTATGAAAACATCCACCAAAAACAGGCCAGGGAAAGGGAAAATATATAGGATGAGCCTGTCTAATGCCCTGTCCTGTCTTCCTCCCCAATTTTCCTCCTTCTTCTCTTCCTGCATCCCCACCCCACACTGGTCTCCGCCCGTTCTTTTCTTCACCTTCATTCAACTTCAGGACATATTTCCAAGAATTTGAAATGAATATAGGAACCTCATAGTACAGTTCAGCAAGTCTGAACTCTTTCTTTCTCTCTCTCACTCTCTCATTCTCCCTCTCTCTATCTCACACACACACACACACACACACACACACACACACACTCACACACACACATACACACCCCACAGGATGATACAACATGAATCTTTGAGGCCTCTGAGAGGCCCTGTGTGATGCAAAATCATTGGTGCCAGAACCCTGGAAAAGTCACCCATCCCCAAAGAGGATCTTTTTCCAAGCAGGGAGTCAACCTCATGAATGACTGTCTACACTGTAGAGAGGGACCCCTAGGTAGCAAAACAGACACATTTGATTAAAAGAGAGTCCTCATTTCATTCAGATGGGCCCCCTTGGGGGTATAGCTCAGTGGTAGAGCATTTGACTGCAGATGGGCTCCCTGGGTCAATGAGGTAGTATAAAATGCTAACCAAGGTCACAGACTCCATTCCCCTGTTGGTCATGTTTCTTTTACTTGTTATCATCTCACTGGGAACACCACAATGTATGGAAAAATCATAAACCATCCCTTAATACTTAGGATAATCAATAGTATTACTTTTTTAGCAATGAGTCTCACTATGTTGCCCAGGCTGGACTGCAGTGACTATTCACAGGCACAATCACGGGGCACTACAGCCTCAAACTCCTGGGCTCAAGGGATCTTCCCACCTCAGCCGCCCAAGTAGCTTGGACTATAGGCACACGCCACTGCACCTGACAATGGTATTTTTTAAAAAAATATTTTCCATTTCTTTTCCACTTGATTGTCAGGGGGAGATTATACAAGTTTCCATAAATCAGGCAGCTGAATTCCCCACATTCAGGGAAATCACAGGAGCCAGCAGGAATTGATTTCCCCAACCCGATCATTTCCTGGTCCAGAGGTTCTCCCACAACAAATATGAGCTAGACTTCCACACTACATGCCCTCTTCTCCACTAATCACTTTTTGCAAATTCCCCCACTCCCCAGATAGCTCCACTTGTTCCACAAGATATCTTCAAGTATGTATGCCACACCATCTCAGACCCAAATTGCTTTTGTTTTTTTTCCCGCAACACCAAAAGAAATTCTCTGCCATTTTCCACCATGGTTCTTGCACCTCACCTCTGTCTCTGTCAGACTTGAGATCATCACAAATGATTTAGAGTCACCAAAATATTCCTCTCCTACTGTCTGAGCCCAGACTCCATCAATGTATATCTACAACCCAGTCCTCACCTATAGCAGAATTACAGGCTGGCATGGACAGGGTCACTGTAGTAGGAGGCTGATAAGACTGGATTCATCCCTGAAAGGTATTGCCCCATGCTCCTTTACAAACCGCAGTACTAGCAGAAGAATCTGGAAGCTTTTGGAGTAGTAGAAATACAGTGGACTTGGTGCCTGCCATTGACTCACTGTATGACAGACCTAGGCAAGCCACTCAATATATCATAGCATCAGCTTTTCCATCAGTTTCTCCACAACCTTCCCTGACAGCCTCACAGTGTGGCTATAAGAGGCTAATGAAATAAGGGATGTGGAAGCACATGGCAAACAGTAACACCATATGCAGATGAAACAAATCCTCATCTTCCTCACTCTGCAGCAATACTTCTGAGGAGAAGAAAGACAGAGCTAGCATAAAGGACTGGCTACTAGACTGTCAGAGTGTCATTTAAAGATCACCCACTTGAACTTCATTTTAGACATGAGGCTGCCTCGGCCCAGGAAGGGCAAATGATGTACCCGGGATTCCAGAAGTAGAAAGTGGCAGAGCAAGGATTAGAACCCAAGTTTTCAATCTGCCAATCCAGTTCTCTTTCTACTCCTTTCCACCCCATCCCCATCAATGTATACAGACAAAGAAGGCTATTTTCAAGGAAAAAGCTGTATTGTTCTGAAGCATAAAAGGAAATAAAACTAAGGCAGAAAAATAAAAAGGGGATTAATGAAATATGCCAAAGAGTGTTTTGTCTACAAAAAAAAAAAAAATACAGGCAACAATTGCACTTACAAAATACTATTGTCCCTTTATATAATGTTGGGGCTAATCAGGTTATACCTGGCTTTTACAATAAAGAGCCAGGGTATTTGGGAGGAACAGGAGAAATGATTTTACCCCCTGCATATCCAAAAGTGTGTAATAATGAGCCTTCATATAATAGGGGTCAACTGTACATTCAGTGGAAAGGAATCATTAAAAGGCACCCTGCCTCTCAACACACGAGGCACTTCCTCAACAGCTTGCCCAAGGAAACCCTCTTCTACCGTCAAATAATCCCCCAGCCAGACCACAAATTGCTGGCTGCCCCATACTCAGCAACACGCCCTGCCATGCTTGCACTGGCTCACAAAATAATCCAGGACCACAGCAGCAAGCACTATCCGGGGTGCTTCTCAGGATGGGTCAGCTCTAGGCAGAGTTGAAAAATGACCTCTCCAAGGCAGGTTGTCTAGGCCGACTGTGGAAATTCTGTGGGCGGTGTGAGGAGAAAAAGGAAGGGAGGAACTTCCAGACCATGGCTGCATATCCCATTGTGACCTTGGTGGAAAGATGGGGGAGAGGAGGAGGTTGATTAGAAAATTCCTGAAGGCTAGGATTTCCCTCCCCAAAGGGGTTGTTTGAGAGTGTTTTTGGTTAAAAAAAAAAAATGCAAATTATTCTCTCCAGAGAACACTGGAGGGAGAGTACTTTAGGAGGGAGCGTGATGGTGGATGACAAAGGCTTCTCAGATTGGTTAGAAATACATGACAAGTATGGGGGAAGGGGTACTGGATGAAGATCAGGGCTGATTTCGGGAGGCTAAAGATCCAAGAGGTCCCTGCTGGCCCCCCAAAATGTTGCCCCAGCATACCTCAGACTGCTCAAGCTGATTGGTATACCCCAGGGCAACACCCTAGGGTTGCTAAGAGTGTGGGCCCTAAGGCCTGAAGGACTCCTACACTGTAAGTTAACCAGCAGCTCCAATTCAAGGCAAAAGTGGCACACGTTATTGTGGGGGTGTGGGGGAAGGGGGGGAACATTCACTGAACTCCCTGCTGAGACGTGACCAAAGTTAAAAAGCCAAAAAAAAGTGGTATTTGTTCCCTGCTGAGAAGCAACATCTTTCTTTCTCCAGCCTAAACCCACATCTACAACCTCAACTGCCATTGTGCGGGTTGGAAGGGGGAAAGCTTTTCGAATTTGAGTATTTAAGAGAAACAACAACAAAGAGGGATAAAAGTTCCTCAAGTTGTGAAGTTGGCTTAGCAATCTGGCAGCTCAAGGTGAGTCGTCCCACAAGTCACTTTTCCCAGGAACAGCCCCAGCTGCCCCCACCCCTGACCCCTACGGAGGAGGCTGGCTTTGGGGGTTTCGGAGCGCTCAGGAGAGCTCCTCTCCCCTGTCCTCCGCTGAAACTTGGCTTCCAGCAGATCACAGCCTCCTAAAACAAACAAACCCTGGCGGTGGCAGCCGCAGCGGCAGCGGCGGCGGCAGTTCCAGCACAGCTGCACTCCATGGAGCAAAAGTTTCCTCCACATTTCTGAACGTGCAGGAAATCTCGCCGGCGCTGGGGCAGGACTCCGGAGGGAGGGAAAGGCCGAGCGGGACCCGCAGCAGCAACGCCGAGAGCTGAATGGATGTGCGCGCGTTCGGCCGGCCGTGGGAAGTGAGGCTGGCGAAAGCCACCAATGCCTCATCTCCGTTTCCACGTTGGCCCCTAGCCCTGCAACCTGCCCGGGAGGGACGGTCCGCCGGTCAATGGAGGGGCCAGCGCTACCAAGAGAGCTGCCAAGCCGAGTTGCCTGTCTCTTCAGTCCCTCACTGTTCCGTATGAGCTCCGGGGACTCCAAAGAGAAATCCCCAACAGCCGCCCCTTTCTTCAGCCACAAGTGAGGAGAGTAGCTACCCCGACGTGGGGGAGCAAAGGCTGTCCCAGCGCCCCCGCAAGTGTGTCTGCGCGCAAGGCTCTAACCCCGGGCCAGTCGTGCTCCCATTCCGTGCTCCAGCCAGCCTTAGGGGGTGTCTGCGCCTGGACTGGCAAGACCCTCCGTGCTGCTCAGAGGAACTTTCACCCCCAGCGCTGGCCAAGTTTCAAAGTCGGTCTGAGGGCCCTGTCCCGCGGCAGCCCGCGCACCCGGTTGCCAGTTCAAAGTTGGGCGCCCTTAGGATAAAGCTGCCAGTTCTTACCTTAGACACTGTGAGCGGCTCGCAGTGTTCCAGACCCCCCTTAAGGGTAAAGCCCCATGGCGCCCCCCCTTGCAGCTGCACAGGGACGTACTGGAAAGACCCAGGCCGGTTCTCCATCCTCAGCTCCGCTTCGGCGCCGCCGGGGGCTCCTTTTCCGCGGGGCTACGTTGCCTCCGCCCCCAGCAGCTCCGCCACCATCGCCCTGCAGCGCTGCGCCACCCCGCACCGCCCCGCCCCGCCTCCTCTCCCGGCTGGAGACGCTGGGGCAGCGAGCGAGCGCAAGGAGGAAATGACACGGAGTTGGAGAAAGGGGGAGAGAGGGGGGAAAGGAGAAGGAAAAAAAAAGAAAAGAAAAGAAAGGAGAGGCGGAGGGATAGCTCATAATGGACAAGAAAACGGAGCAATGGGGAGGAGCAGTCACTGGGACCTCGCCTATAGGAACGCAGGGGAATGGGAACGAGGCGAGGCCTCACATCAATTGTTACATTGTTTCATTCAAGCAGGCCCCCTCTTTGGTCCCCCTCTTCACTGCCGGGTTCCCCGCCCCTCCAGCCAGCCCAGGCGAGGGGAGGTGAAAGTCGTTAGTGTGGACGCCCGCGTGGCCCAGTGGGCTGAAACACTGGTTTCCTGATTAGCGAGTTCATGTTTCTCTGACTGCCTTTTTCTTCTGAAGGTCCCGAGAACCGGGTCCTAGGAGGGTTACAAGGCTGCTAATTTGTAGAGCTTGCCTAGAGGGGAGGAAAGTAAAGCAAGCAGGCCAGCGAACACAGTGGGGCTGTGTGTGCAGGCTGCTCTCTGTGTACCGGCTAGGTGTGTGGGGTCATTATGAAGCATTGCCCCGGAGCAGAGCATAGTTTAAATAAAGAAGCACTTTGAGGATGCCCCCTACCGGGGCTCAGCCGAACCCTGGCTCAGCGCTGGCCTCTATGGGTAACACCGTGCTTCTGTATGTTCCAGTCATCTGGAGTTCCTGGCACGGCCTTGCACTTGCACCACTGAGATGACCAAGCCAGGAATCAGCACACTTTATGAGTAGCAGTATTGTCTCTAAATAAACCTACAGGAAGCAGCATCCATTGGTAAGCTGGCCAATTAATAATGTTGTTCCTTTCGGGAGAATCAGCTTTTAGACAGGGTCCAGAACATCTCTGCTCATCTGTTCAAGCTTAAGCCCGTAGTTTCTGCGCTGGGCTTTTAAAACAGATCAAATAAACAACCACAACAATAGTCCTGAAAAGTGAATTTGTTACTGAATCTTACCCTGGTTTCTCAGCCTTCACCTGGGCGAGTTATCTTCCCTCTCTAAGGTGTTTTCTCCAGAGCCACATGTGGGCAGTGAGTTTTTAAAGGACCTCACACTAGCAGGGAAAAATGTTGTGACTCAACAGGATGTTCCCACTCTCTCTTGCCTGTTCAGTTTCTTCCCCTGCTCCTGTGCAGCTTCTGCCTCATGGCCAATAAACACACTATAGCCCCTTCCTTCACAGCCAGCTTTCTGTGCTCAAGGTTTCCACTCTCTGCTTCCATTTCCTCACTTGTCACTGCCTCTTCAACACAGTGCAGCCTGCCCTGTGCCGCAGCAGGCCACTGGAACTTCTAGCACAGGCTCCCCCCAAATCAATTCTTTCTGCTCGGCACCACCCCCACCAGACTGTCTGCATTATATAAAGCTGTCCTGACTGCTCTTTAATAAAACAGCAGTTTGGGTGTTTATAGCTCACCTTTTAAAGTCCTTAGAGATGATTCACATGGGAAATCACCCTTGATCTTTTACACTTTTACAGCTATTATACAAAGACCGTGTTGGTCATTTTTATTGTTTCGTATTTTCCCTACTAGAGAGCAGAGAAAATGACAACCCAATTTGTTGATTCTTAATTGTGTCAACCTATGTCGTAACATTCTTTTGCTCTGCCACACCTTTAAACTAAGCATTTTTTTTTCTTTTTGGGATAAGATCTCTATGTAATTTGGTAGAACTCAGCATGTTTCAGTCCCAGCATATTGAAATTTAAAAAGTTGAGTTCACAGGATATATAGTCATCACTCAAGGACTACTAGAATTATGTGTCTAGACTAGAGGAAAAAGATTTGGAAGCAGGAGACACATATCTGAGCACTGGCCTTGTCACTAACTAGATGGTTGACCTTGGGCAAATCACTGAGCTAACTCTTCTTAGCCTCATTTTCTTCATCTGTAAACTTTAGCTAATAAGCCCTGACTTTCCTACTTCCCAGGCCTGTTCAGAAACTAAGATAAAATAATACATATGAAAACACTTTGGTAAGGAAAAAGTAAAAATCCTCACAACCTTATTATGAAAGTAAACACTGAGCTAGCCTTTAACTAACCTATTTTCATTCCAAGCCTTACTCCACAATGATGTCTTATTGCACTCTTCAGTTTATCCTTTCCATCATTATAGCAGAACATAAATTACCTAGCCCCTTGTGCAAACAGCACATAAGTAGTAGACATTTTGAAGATAAGATGGCTAGATCATGTTGTTTCTTTACTGATAAAAATCACTGCTGCTAGCAGGCATCTTGTTCTTCCTTCGGAAGTACAGTGGGTGGGAGCATGATTGCATAGTGCAAAGGGTACTGGGTAGAACTTGAGATGCTTCAATTCTAAGCTGGCTCTGCCATTAATTAGCTGTGTGATATTAAGCAGGTCACTCCCCCTCTCCATAAATTGAAGGGGTTGAACTATTTGATTTCTTAAGTTCCTCTACAGTTTGCAAATTGTGACTACTTCCTGGCAAGTGCCTAAACTTAGTATATGTGCAAACAAATTCCTGATGATGGAGATGAACAAGTAAAAATAAAGCGATGGAGAAGAGTTTAGGGGTGTGTTTCTGTGTGTGGGAGTGTACGTGTGCACACCGGAGCCATCAGACAGATGATCAATTCACTCTTAAGTATGTCAAATTGCCTGTGGGAAAAGGGTGGAAAGTCCAGTAGGCAGTGTACACGGGTTCCCTTTTCTCCACAACCTCAATAACATTTGTCACCTTTGTAGTATTATCATTACAGAAAACTACCCAACTGCAAAAATAAACAATAAGAGAGGAAGTAAGGAACAAAAGATACACCAAACAACCAGAAAACAATCAAAAAATGGCAGCAGTAAGTCCTTACCTATCAATAATAACCTCGAATGTAATATGGTTTGAAGTCAGTAAGTATGAGGCCTCCAGTTTTGTTTCTTCTTTCTCAAGATTGTTTTGGCTCTTCACGGTCCTTTGTGGCTCTATATAAATTTTAGGGTTTTTTTCCTATTTTTGCAAAAAATGTCATTGGGATTTTGATAAGGATTTCATTGAATCTGTAGATCACTTTGGCTATGTATTAAAATAGCATTTGTTAACAATCAACAGAGTGAAGAGACAGCCCCACAGAATGGGAGAAAATATCTGTAAACTATCCATCTGACAAGAGATTAATAACCAGAATATATAAGGAGGTCAAAAAAGTAGCAAAAACAATAATAATAATAATAATAATCCAATTAAAAATGAGCCAAAGGTCTGAACAGACATTTTTCCAAAGAACACATACAAATGGCCAACAGGTATATGAAAAAATGCTCAACATTACTAATCATCAGAGAAATGCAAATCAAAACCACAGCAAGATATCACCTCACCACAGTTAAAATGGCTTGTATCAAAAAGAGAGAGAATACAAATGCTGACAAGGGTGTGGAGAAAAGAGAACACTTGTACACTGTTGGTGGGAATGTAAATTAGTACAGCCACTATGGAGAACAGTTTAGAGGTTCCTCAAAAAACTAAAAATAAAACTACCATGTGTTCCAACAATTCCACTATTGGATATATATCCAAAAGAAAGTAAATCAATATATGGAAGAGATATCCACACTCTTACATTTATTGCAGCACTATTCACAATAGCCAAAATATCGACCAACCTAAGTGTACATCAGTGGATGAATGGATAAAGAAAATGTGGTATAATATACACAATGTAATACTACTCATCCATAAAAATAATGAAATTCTGTCATTTGCAGCAACATGAATGAAAATGGAGAACATTATGTTAAGTGAAATAAGCCAAGCACAGAAACACAAATATCGCATGTTCTCACTGATAATGTGGAAGTGAAAAAGTGGATCTCATGAAGACAGAGAATAGATTGGTGGTTACCAGAGGCTGGGAAGGGTAGGGGGGAAGGCAGATAAAGAGAGGTTGATTAATGGGTACAAATATACAATGCATAAAAGAAATAAGACCTGGTGTTTGATAGAGGAGTAGGGTGACTATATTTTACAATAATCTATTGTATATTTCGAAATAGAGGAGAAGAATTCAAATGTTTCCAGCATAAAGAAAAGATAAATATCTAAGTTGATGGCTACCCCAATTACACTGATTTAATCTTTACAAATTACATGAATATATTAAATTATCATATATACCCCCAAAATATGTACATTAATTATGCATAAATAAAAAATAAAGTTATAACAAAAATAAAATAGCATTTGTTCTTTTAAAGAGCTTACATATTTGTTGAAACAATATTTCACCAGAAAACGTAACAGTATTCACTTAGTAAGATAAATTTGCCCTAGATTGAGATAATGCTAAGCACTATGTACTGTGCAAGGCACTTTCCATATATTATTGGTGATGATCACAGTGACCTTGCAAAGTAAGTATTATTAAGTCTGTTTCCCAAGTGAGGAGACTGATCTAGGAAGTGGTAGAACCAGGGTTATGTGACAGTGAGATTGGAGAAGCATCCTGTGATAACTTTATTAATCATGCCTCTGTCATATTCCCCTCTTTTGCAGAGTAGGGAGGGGTTTAGAGTCCTCCATTTTGCTTTCTTTATGTTTCCACTTGGAATGACTTCTGTTAGAATAACTCTCCTGGCCTCTCTCCCCACCCTTCGTGTGATGGGTCACTTGGCAAGTCTGGATAGCTAAGTAGGGAGAGTATTAGGAAGTCTATAATGGCTGCCTTTCTATTTCTTGTCTTAATACAGCTTTTAACAGTAATAAATGGATATTTTTAATCTCTGTTTATCTCCTTCCTGTGTCTATCAATTGGTTCTGAACTTGGTAGTAGATGAGAGATGTGCTATTATTCAC